AGCCAAAACTAATATGACATAAACGTGAGTGCCAAACATTAGCCTCATCATCCACACTGCCACAAATATGGTTCACAGACTTGTTGCAGAAATCAGAAAGGTAAAAGCGGAACAGGCCTCCGCACTTATAATCTTTACCAATAAAATATCCATGTTTAGACACGACTACTTTATTAGACTCAAAAACCAACTTAAATCCATCTCTAGTCAGACGGGAGCCACTAACAAGATTCCTGTCGATAGAAGGGACATGCTGCACGTTCTTCAGCTGCACGATCTTTCCTGAAGTAAACTTCAGATCTACCGTGCCAACACCATGAACAGAAGCATGTGACCCATTCCCCATTAGGACGGTGGAACCCCGTGCGTCCTGATAAGAAGAAAACAATGAGATGTCAGCACAAACATGTACATTGGCCCCAGTATCAACCCACCAATTAGTAGACTGATTAACTGAAAAAACAGTAGGTAAATTACCATACCCGCTTCCATCTCCAGTGTTGCCAATGGTCACATTAGCAGACTTAGAAGTATGCCCTGCAGGTGCCTTCATCCCCTTGCGCTGTGGACACTTCCTAGCCAGATGACCAAGTTGGCCACACACAAAGCAAGTCCTCTCATCCTGATTAGGATTGTTGTTCTTCTTCTTTTGCTTCTTGAAGTTGGTGGTCTGTTGAGCTTTGTACTTCCCTTTGCTCTTGTTCTGGGCCTTGCGCACAACATTGGCACTGGACTGTCCACCATCGCCCTTAGATGCGACATCTTTTTCCCGAGCTTTCTCCTCAACATCAAGAGACGCTATCAACCCCTCAACGGAGTATTCCTGTCTCGTGTGTTTGAGTGCAGTACCGAAACTTCTCCAAGATGGAGGTAGTTTCGCAATAATGCACCCGGCAACAAATTTGTCGGGTAAGACACACTTAAGGAGTTCGAGTTCCTTAGCCATGGTTTGTATCTCATGAGCCTGTTCGACTACAGAACGGTTGTCAGCCATCTTGTATTCATGAAACTGCTCCATGATATACAGATCATTGCTAGCATCAGTAGCATCGAATTTAGTATTCAGTGCATCCCACAACTCCTTAGCGTCGGTCATATGCATATACACCTCGACCAGACGATCGCTAAGAACGCTAAGAATGCATCCCACAAAGAGAGTAGTGGCTTCCTCAAATTGCTTCTGCTGTTCAGCAGTAAGAACTCCTTCAGGTTTGCCAGTACTCACCCAGAAGCATTTCATAGCTGTCAGCCACAGAGTGACCCTGATCTGCCATCTCTTAAAATGCACACCGGTGAATTTATCCGGCCTCAGTGCATCGGCAAAACCAGCCATAGTAAAATCACAATGCCTACAATAAGGGATTTGGATTGTTGAGATTATAGACATATAATGATTTAATCTATTCCATAAATAAATCATGACATTACAGATGAAAACTAGCATGAACGCATCATTAGATCTACATATGTAAACTACACAGTATAACATGAACAAATCAAATATGCGCAACATATTGAACACGTACCGAGGTGGCGGAAAGACCGGCTGCTCGATCGAAACTTTTCGCAGGCGTCTACGAAGGCACGCAGCACGCGAGCGAAGAGGAAGACGAGCCGTCGCGGACGAACAGGGAGCAGTCGCGCAAAGCGCTTCCCAAAAACCTTATTGCCGCCTTCTCCCGGTGCAGAACGTCGAAGGCAGAGGTTCCGGAGACCTGCTCTCCCGATCGCAGGTGCACGCCGGCGAGCGGGATGGAGTAATCTACGAGCGATGGCGCAGCACAGAGTCGGAGGCAAACCCTAGATTGATTTCGCGTGTGTTGCGTGAAGGTGGCGGCTCGGTTTATAGAGAGAAGGGTCACTTGATCAGGGCGCCCGCACGATCTTCACTGCGCGTAACCAAACCGGATAAGTCGCACGTAACTTATCCGGACTCCACGCCGTTTGCACGCACCGGATTTTTCGGAACGTTTCCAAAACAAAAACGAATCCGAATTTGCAGCAAAACAAACAAAAACGAATCCAAATTTGCAGCAAAACAAAATTGCAAAAGGAGGCTGCATCTGCGCAAGGTGAGGAACCAATTTTGACGGACCATTCGACGCGTTCGTCGTGCACGCTCGCCGCCTGCCCGGCCAGGCCAGCGAGCGCGCGCGTGTGTTCCCCCTCTTCTCTCCACCACACATGCTTCAAGTGGCTAGGAGGGCATCCTCCCTTTTAAGGAGGTCCCCCTCTCCTAGAATAAGCAAGGTGGTACTAAACTCCACATACATGCCATCCCATGAGGTGGGCTTTTGTGATTTTCCAAAGAATTAATCTTCGAGTAGGCTAAGGCCCATTTATTAATTCCAACAATAACTTCGGTCAACGGTGCGGATCGGGACTAGACTCAGGGAGAAGTTGAGATCCATATGGTTAAAGATACCGGATGACAAAGTTGGATACGAGATGGCACACGGTGGATAGACATCGTGTGAGTGAGATCTTTGCAGCGGGCTTCACGAGGTTTGCATGCAGACGTCGGTGTTCGCGAAGGAGATTGGAAGAAATTGAGGAGGGGTATATATGGTGCTACAGTGCTTCGGGTTACTGTGTAGCATGCATATATGTATGTGTACTGTGGCTAGCAGTATATATTGTATCGTGGCTTGCGTGCATGCATGTATGCGTGATATACATGTGTGCGGCTCGATGGTTATGCTTGCTGGTGCCGATGCATGCATGTGCAGTCGGCATGGCAGGCGACAGCAGCGGCTCGGTTGGTGGGCAAAGCCGAGTCGGCTCAGGGAGCAGCAGCGAGCAGTGAAGGCTCACGCGCGAGGAGATCGAGTCCGACTCGGTGTGGTGCGGCTGCAGGTTTTGGTAAATTGTAAAGGGTTTGAAAATTAAGGGATTGAGTTCTACTGTGAATAGAAGTTCTACATCTACTTTGACTAGTAAATTTTAGGTATAAATAGATGAGGGTTAGGGCTAGGAGATATCGACTTTTTGGAAAATAAAAGTTAGGGTTTACTTCGAGGTTTCAATCCTAGTTCGTGAGTTGAGAGAGGAGTTCTCTAGATGCACTTTGTAAACACATATTGATGCAATAAAGTTGATATACTTTCAAGTGTTTCGTCGATACGTGTTTTTCTAGATCCCGACGGTTTGACCGGAGGCGAGTCGGCGGTCTAACCACACGGGGGCGGTTTAATTGACGATAAGGCGGTGGTTAGACCGGCAGCGTGCGAGCTGTCTGACCGGCGGCGACAGGACTACGTCAAGATCTCCATCGATTTAAGGGTAACTTTTATTTCCGCTAAAAGTTTTTGGGTTTTTGGTTTTCTCTACTATTCACCCCTCTCTCTGGTAGGTTTGTTTGGTTTTTTGCGATCCTATAACATTGATATATATATCTATGTTTACATATTATTAAAATACAGAAAATTAAGGAACTTTTGCAAGGAAATAGCAATATAACACTGAGTGCTAGCGCAGCTGACTTCCATAACAATTTTCTGCACTTCTCTCTTATAGATAATTCCAGTTGACGAATGGATTAAGCATACACAAGTGTAAGACTATAAATAGTACACAAATCACAATTTAATAGCTCAAGTTACTCTTGATAATTTGCATCAACAATAACAGCAGCGGCACTACCACTGGACAATCTAAAAAAGCGATAGTACCTGTCGTGATCAGAAAATAAGGAACGCATGCAGATGAAGCGAACACCAAAAGTGTAGACGGCTCCAGCGACGGGCGACGGCGTCGTCAGATCTGGTCTCCCCGCTTGGCCGGGGTGACCGGCGACGGGCTCGGTCGACGCCGACGCAGCTCCACGGACCTGGCAGGGGGGTGGCTAGCAGCGGCGATGGTGGCGGATGTGGCGGCGACGAAGTTGGCGACGACGGCGGTGGACTGCGGCGCGTGCCGCGACGCCAGCCCTCGTCAAGAACCTTGCTGCCACGAGGGAGGCGCGGCGCCCTCGTCAATGCTCCGGCGGTGAACACCGTGCCCGTGACGCCTTCCTTCATGTGCCGGCGACCCGCGCTTTGCGCTGCACCTCCGATCCGCGCCACCCCGGTCGGATCTAGATGGCTGGCGTCTGGCGACGCTGGCTAGCGACGGTGGCGGCTGGACGGGGGTGTCCGTGGCGGTGGCGGTGGCGATGATGGCTGACGGTGGCGGCTGGTGACGGTGGTGGCTGTGGCAGTGGCGGTGGCGGCTGTCGACGATGGTACCTATAGCGGCGATGGTTGAAGGCCATCATCCGGCTGACGGTGCGTCGTCGTCAGCGGTGGTATGTGGAGGCGGGGAAGGGGTCTGGTAGCGGGGAAGGAGGAGTCCGGGTGCGGGCGCGCCATCGACGGCGGGAACAATTGTGGGCGGTGGCCTTGGCCGAATCGCTGAAGGGACAATGTTGTTGACCGACGACGATCCTTCTTGTGCGGATTGGTGGTGTGGGTTTGGACAGGGAATCGCGGGCGAAAGCCTTGCCGAGCCATTTGGCCGGCTGACAATGGCGACGCCGTTTGGCGTTGTTCCCCTCCTTGGAGGTGTTGTTTTAGCGTACCCCTTTCCTTTCCCTACCATATTCTCTGGGTGAAAACCTTGCTTCGGTTCCGAACGAGCGGTGGCGGCGATCCACGTCGCATCCTCCTTGGGGGCACCGCTTTGGAGAAACCTCTTCGTGCAAGGATATTATCATTGGTCTATGCACTGGCTTCGAACTTCAGTCCTAGGCCTGGACGAGGCCTTCTAGCTCCATATTTTGTTTTGCTTTTCTCAGTTTGGGTCCTCTCTTCTCTTGTTTGGTGTGTTCAACTTGTCTTGGACTACACTCTCTTATGGAGTGGATCTTTGTAATAATTGGTTGTAGTTCTTTTTAAGTAAAAGCCAGGATATTATATTCTATTATCTAAAAAAATCACGGGGAGTCAGCGAAACAAAGGAAAAGAGGTGCTCCGTGCTTCGATGGCCGTTGGTTCTATGCCCGGCGGTGGAGGGCGGCGGATGAAGGGCAGCGGCGAGCTTTGCCGTCTCCAGATTTGTTTCTTTATTTGGAAATCGCGAATATACAAAATACGTATACATGGCAGTAAAAAAAATCAAAGTTGGCATGTTTCTTTATCGTGTCCGAATCGGTTTCCTCCTGCAAGATTTTTTTTTGAAACATTATTTCCGCAAGATTTTTGGAAACAATTTAACGAGTATTTAACAATCCTATCCTCCTCAACCTGCAGATTGCATTGATCGAGTCGAGCCTTCGAGGGCAGAGCACGCAGAGAAGGAAGAAGCCGCACCGCCGACGCCGCCGCCGTCTCCTCCGCCGCTGCCTCTGCCTCCTCCGCCGTCGACGCAAGAGCCAGCCATGGGTCGGCCGCGAGGGGGGACTAGCAAGGGGAAGCAGAAGATCGAGATGTGCTGCATCGACGGCAAGGAGAAACGGCAGGTCACCTTCTCCAAGCGCCGCCGGGGCCTCTTCAAGAAGGCGTCCGAGATATCCACGCTCTCCGGCGCGTCCATCGCCATCGTCTCCTTCTCCAAGGCCGGCAACGTCTTCGCCTTCGGCTCGCCGAGCGTCGACGCCGTCCTCCGCCGCCACGTCGTGGCCGGGCCTTCCACCTCCACCTCCCACGCCCACGCCGGCGGCGACGTCTTCGCGGACGACGGCGGCGACAACCCCGAGGTGCTGAACGCGCTGAAGCGGGCGACGGACGAGGCCGCGGCGGAGGTGGCGGCGGAGGACGCGCGGCAGAGCGGCGTCGAGGGAAAGATCACGGAGGCCATGGCGGCGGGGAGGCGGCGGTTCTGGTGGGACGCCGCCAACGTCGAGGCGCTCGGGGAGGCGGAGCTGCCGGTGTTCGAAAGGGCGCTCCATAAGCTCAGGGGCGCCGTCGTGCGCCGCCGCCGCCGCCTCGCCGCAGCAAGAAGAAGCTCCTGAATTAGACATTACACCGTGAATGCTTGTTAATTAGGTGCCACTGATTAATCAATTGCAAACGGGTTTAGGGCTGCCATTTAATTTGCTCCGTTTTTGTTTAGAGATCGAGCAGCTGCAATAATGTTAAACTTAAGCATGATGGTATGTTAAGAGCTTTTAATTATGCGACGGAAGAAATGCCTTTCTTGCTTGATGCTGTCAATAATGTTTTGATCACAAGAAATTATTAATGCATTTGTGCGTCTACTTGTTACATAAAAATCTACTTGGTACGTAAAAACTAGATGATACCTTGCACGTTGCCACAGTATAATTTGTAATATACATTTGTATGTCATTGCAAATAATACCTTGGGGAACATTATATATAACGATTGAATTATTCAAAATGAAACCTCAGCAAGTTTTTACTGAAAAGAGAATTCAAGCAATTGTAAAATACAACCTGCAAATTGTCATAGCTTATGAATCTAGTTATTTAGTAGTAGCAGATAGTAGCTTTAGTTATCTATACTAATATAAAAAGCATGAGTTCATCGAATACCTATCTTTCCTGACCCTTAGATCTATTCATCCAACGGCTTATATCAAAAGTTGAATCAACCTATGCAATTAGCCATCCCCACGTTCGATTAGCAGCAGTTATAGCGATACAGCGATCGATCACGAGAAAGAAGCGGAAAAGAAAAAAAAAAACTTCTCTTCCGTGCCTTAGCCCGTCGCCGCCTCCTGGAGCCGCTCGCCGCCTCCTCGCACGCGCCCGCCGGACCGCCGGGCACCGCCGCCAGCTCCGAGCGCACACCCGCCGGAGCCGCCCCCCTACCCCGCCACCACCTCGCGCGCGCCCGACGCTCGCCCTACCCCGCCGCTGCCGCCTCCTCGCGGCCGCCGGTGAGCCGGGTTCACCGTCGGCTGGCGCCTTCTCCACCACCGCCGCTGCCTCCTCGCACGCGGCCTCTGGAGTTCTGGGGTCACCGTCGGCCGGCTCCTCCTCGCGTGCGCCCGCCGGGGAGCTGTGGTGGGTTACGGCACTACGCAGTACAGACTCCAGGTTAAGGTGATGTCCTCTCTTCCTAAATCCTCAAACAACAAAGATTTTGTGCTTTTATTATTTTGGGGTCATAAAATTGTTTACATAAGGTTTGGGCAGGGTTGCTTATGATACGGGGCCCCAAATGTTTAGTCAATTGGTTCTCTCGTCTCGCTATGTTATTTGCTCTTGTTTAGGAGATAATTTTACTTGCTATGAATTCTGCTTGCTAAGCATCTCACAAGTATCATATCAGTCATGCTTCCTCAGGAAATGTCTAAAAACATGGTGGACTGCCGATCACACAAATTTATTCTACAAAGCAATTATCAGTTAATACCTAAGGACTTGGCTGACTGCCGATTACCGATTATAGTGTAAACGGTAAGCATCAGTTGTGGCAGTGCACATAATTGAATAAACAAAATGCCCAATGCCCCTAATTAATCTGAAAGCAATCCATCAGTTTAATAAATTAAGTTGTGGGATGCAGGTTGCAATTAGTGTTTGGCCGTCAGGCATCTGGCATTAATTAGCATTCGGCCATCAGGCGTCTTGCATTCTGTCTGCTTGCTTTGCCTATTTGATTGGGTTGGATCAGGGGTCCAATGTGATTTGGTCTGGGGGTCCCACACTAAAATTATACATAGCCTATAGGTTCCACAATATCGTTAACCAAAGCACTCGCCCTTCCCATATTCAAGTGGATCCCCATTGATCTAGGTTGGCAAATCTTACTACACTATTTCGTTACCTCGTAAGTACTAAGTTCTTTTATGGAACATATTTTCAGATTTAATTCCAATGATAGGCTTGAAGATATTATGCAGTTTTTTACTTATTGGAGTTGATGTGATGGAGCTAACATCAGCTGGAAGTCACCTTGAAAATGGCACATTTTGTGTCTTGCCCATTAACTGTCAAGTATGGCACAATTATTAGTGTGTTTTCCCCTTTCTGCGGTGCAGGGAGACGCATATTACATATGTATCCCTCTATTCTCTGGATCAAAGAGTGCAGAGGTCCTTCAATTGCATTCTACGGGGATAGGGTTCATAATTGAATTGTTTAGTGATGTTTGCAATCTCACAAACTCAAATGTCGTTAGCCTCTCTTGAAGACAAGAACCATTAGTCTCATAAATTATCAGGTTTGGATTTTAGCAGTTTTAGGTTAGATTATAATTCCAGATTAAAGTGAAAATGATGAAAGTTATACATTAAAGATTTTGAGTGAAAATATTACCAGATTTTTTTTCTCCAATGGAATGTTAATTGTTAAGTGCAATATATATTCTTAATTAAAGTTGTGTGCATAGATGACCTGCCAACAATACTATCCCGTATTGTTCAGTCCATTGATGATTGAACTGGATGTCAACTCCATGTCCTCATTGTCTTGATAGGCACAGGGAGGCAACAATCCAATCCAGGAGAGATGGGATAGGATCCCAGCTCAAGGGAGCCCTGGTGGCAGCTACGGTTGGGAGGACCTAAGCCCTACAGGCAAGCTCTATAATCAACCCCCTTTTGCTTACCGGCTTCCAGTGATGCAGGTACTGATCCCCTCCTCCAGTGATGTAGGTACTGATCCCCTCCTCCCTCCCTCTCCCTCCCTCTTTATCACGACATTAGCTGATTGATCACCAGCTTTTTATTCCGATTGCTCCAGTGAACTTTGTTCACAAAATAGTGTTTTTTTCATTTTCTGATGCTTGTGTCTATCGTGTGACTCCTCCGCCGACATGTACATTGATATCTGCCCAACTGATTGATGAAATGATCGTTTACATTTTTTTTGTTCAGTCAATAGTTTCTGATCAGCTTGGAGTGGTCTGTGCCATGTTGCTGTGATAATGCTACAGGTTAATCCTCCTGGCTCTCTGTACTTAAACAATTTCTCTGGATCTCTTTCCCTTTTGTTTTGGACGTTATACAATCTGTTGGCTAATAATGGCATTCATGAATAATAGATCATGTTAAAGCTGTTTGCATGGTCTGCTGTTGTCAAATAGTTTTATGCAGTCACAACTCTTATTAAATGATCAGGTTGACTTCAAGCATTGGGCTAAAAACTAAGATTATGTAAGTTAAATAACATATATGCCATCATCTTCAATTTAAGTGATATTGTGTCAATCTTCTGATCAACTGTTCACATCTTCGGATTATATAGATTCATGTCACCTGTGTATGTCTTCGGAATTATCTATGTTTATGTTACTGTGTATGTCTTCAGATTTATATATATTTAGGTCACCTGTGTATATCTTGAGATATTTCATAATTGCATATTATTACAGATGGCAAAGATGTTTAATTCTATTTTTTTTATTGGATATCCTTCAGCGATATGCCCTGCCCGGCCTTGTCAGCTAATATGCAATATCAGTTTTATGCCCTTGACATGGCATACATTCCTCCAGGCTGCACTCACTTACACTTTTACTGTAGTTTGATAGGTTAATGTTCCTTTGTCAAGGTGAACCAATCAGCTAATGATGGTTCATATAGTTATAATTTGAGTGCAACTATGTATCCACTATGATGTAGAATTGTGGGTATTTATAGATGCAATTTAAAAGGTATGCCACTTAGGAACCGACACTTAGGCACATGCACCTAGGCTTGATGGGTAAGTCTGGCCAATTTACATATGGGGAACATAAATTAATTTAATCAGTTATTCCAATTTATTCTTCTTTGTTTCTATGCATTGCAATGCCAATTTGAGTGCCTATCTTGTCATGCTATTCAGCATAATGTCTTGGCAGGCTCTGCATATGTTCATGCTTATATATGCAGCATTCATATAAGTAAGGATTAATTGGATCGCTTGCTTTGTCTAATGCAGCCTCACCATTTAATTTGTGGCGAGCACCTTAATTCCATCTTGCCATTACCGAGGGAGTATATCATATGCACCTAATTCTGTATATAGAGTATTTATTGACTAGGGTCTTGGAAATTTTTGAATTGCTGTCAGATGTAAGTTCCTCAGGTTGATGATTTGATTACTTTCACAGCTAATACCATTGATCACAGCTAAACACCACTTATAGAAGTTTAATGGATTTTTATCTAAAAAGGGAAAAAAGGAAATTAATAACTGAAACTGCATAGTAGTACTATGATCTCTGAACAAAGAAATTTGCTGAGTTTCCTAGCAGCTGCTGGGTGCATTTTCCTCTTGTTATGTGTGCCTAACCTTGCATCCATTAAATTTCAAAAGTGCAAATAGAGAATTATTGCATGCATTCCTTTGATATCAAAGATTGGGATGAAATTTCCAGCTTAATCCTGACAGCCACAATGTGTCTTGAGCAAAAGGAAGCAAAGCTGCAACTGAAACACGGTGAATAGTAAATAAAAATCTCGCTTTTAGGAAAAAAAAAGGTGAGTCGTGCACAAGTGCTGTAATCTGGTTTTGGCAAATTTTTATCGAGATATACAACTCCGTTGCTTTGTTTACACAATAAACCTGAACTCTAGGTGTAGCAGCTTGAAGCGTTAAAAAAGAAGATGGCAGCAAACATATGTTTGCTTTATTGGATTTAATACTTGGATATTCCACTGTGCTTCCCAAATTGAGCTGAATAAATAGCTTGACGAATTGTTCTCTTAACATGTCTCAGTTGTCCTTTGTATCAAATGAGCAGCATAAGCCATTCATGGATTGTTCTTTTCCACTGTGATACAGATAGTTACTTCTAATGTTTCATGGAAAAGTTTGAGCGACAAAAATTTCTTAAGCAAGCTTACGGATTGTTTCTGATGAGTTTAGCAACTCTATGGAAACAAGCATAAGTGCTTCTCATCTAACCAGTTCCAAGAGAGAAGTAGCCAAGTAGGTAGAACAATCCCAAAACTGCAAACTTATTTTACTGTATATATATATATATATATATTTTCCTTTTTAGCATTTTCTGTAAAGTCCCAGTTCTGTATTGCAGTTGGCATGGTTGTGTTCATCAGAATATTGAATGTCAAATCGAAAGGAGGCGCCAACCTATAGCTATCAACGACATGGACACCATGGTTCAGATTCATAAATTTGGGGATCATGGATGTCTAGGTTCAGAAATTTTTGGATTTTAGACAACAAATTTTGTAGAATTACCAATTTAGAAAAACACATT